GATTAACCCTCTTTGACTGAGTGCTTTCATTTAGTTGAGTTCATGACATCTACCCCATTGGAGTGTGTACGTTCCGGCTGGCCTTGTGGGACAAACTCGATCTTTAGCTTCATGAGGGGTCTGAGGGATCCGGTAGATTGTATCAGCCTGAGGCAGTTGGAGGCCAAACGGTTGGAACGGCTGCTGGCTAATGCATTGCTGGGTGGCTCGCTAATCAGTTCGGGGTGCCAGGTCTAGCTGGGAAGTCCGTCTTGCCACCATTGCCAATTGGGGATTGTGGGTATTGGATTGATAGGAGGGATCTTGTTGATTCATAAGTGCCCGAAAGAGGGCCACTGCTCGTGTATGTGCTTTTTGGACGTCTGACTACAGTGAGAATCCTTGTGCTGCCTCAAAAGTAGCGATGTGCATGTGCAGTGGGCTTGTAGATTAACCAAGATTTTTTTAATGTATGTTGATCAAATCTTTATAAGTAGTAGATATCTAACTTTTTTTCAACGCAACTAATTATTCATAGAATCTGCGTTTATTATATTCGCTAAATGACCTAGAAGTACTTAATCTTTCATTTAATGAAACAACTGAATTGATAATTGAAAATACAGTTTCTGTTCGGTTGAAATCGATTATTAAAACTGTATTTTCAACTGTCAATTCAGCTGTTATCAACCAACATGAAAATCACAATTTTCATTACAGATGTAAAGACAATTCTTTCTACTGTATGAAGTGGAGACTTCGAAAACTACCAAAGCCATAATCCAGAAGATACAAGTGTTTATTAACAGCTGTCTACGCGAAATACTTTGGATTCGTTGGCCAGACACCATCAGCAACAACCTACTGTGATAGAGAACAAACCAAACTCCAGTGAAGGAGGAAATCAGGAAGAAGCGGTGGAAGTGGATAGGACACACAGTAAGGAAAGCATCGAGCTGAATCACATACCAAGCCCTCACTTACTATCCTCAAGGTCAAAGGAGAAGAGGAAAGCCTAGAAACACATAACGTCGAGAAATAGAGAAAGATATGAGAAGAATGAACAACAGTTTCACAGAACTGGAAAGAGAAGCCCAGGACAGAGTAGGCTGGAGAATACTGGTCGGCTACCTATGCTCGATTGGTGGTTACAGGTGTAAGTAACTAAAGTAAGTAAGCATATCTTTTGTCATGGATTCAAAGAGTAGTTAATCAAATGGTATTAAGGATTATTTTATGTGATTATGTGTTTATAAATCATGTATTTTTTTTAAAATTCATAGTATGAAAACTTTCTGAATTGGTCAGTGGTAGTGAGATTGAATCAGTCAGGTAGCATCAGTTCCCCACAAGATTATAGCCACTATATAACAGGAAACTTATATTTATCCGCGTGAGCGTCCTGTAGGGCTACTGCCTGTCCCAAGCTTGGATAAAGGAGGAGAATTGGGCATGGGATTGGCGGCCCCATCTCAAAAAACGCTAAGCAGAAAAATCAATTCGAAAAACACCGTTTATCATCACCTTAAATGACTCAATGTGTAAAATCTGAATATTACAGTGTGAACATGAAAAAAGACTGAAGATGTTCACTTGTTTGATATACCCAATGTTGTTTTTAATAGAAAGATTAAATTAACACCTGCTTATTTGATATAAAAATTCAGATTATGAGATTAATAAATGTTATTCAATGTACAATGTACAAACTTTCAGAAACCGCCAAAAATTGATAATTGATGTTTGAACTTTAAATGAACAAGTTTAATTATGTTTAGTAGCAACTTGATAAATTTTAACCCTGGAAAAAAAAATTTCTTAATTTGTTTATTTTATTTCGGAGGTCATGTATGTACATGCTGCGTGTTGATTGAAGGAAAAAATTTACACTTGTACAAGTACATTCATCATTTTAAACAGTTTTATTATCATTGAAAAATGAATGAAAAATGATTTTTATTTAAATAATTTGTGTGGGTGAGCAACTCTGTTATTAGGAAACGGGTGCTAGGTAAGAATGGTAGATCAATAGATGAAGTAATGAAACTTCATCAGTTGAGGTGGTTGGAACATGTGTTGCGTATGCCTAACCACCGACTGCCTCGACGAACTTTGTTTTGTAGTGTAGGAATAGGTTGAAAGAAAGTTAGGGGCGGCCAAACTAAAACATGGCAGCAATCCATGAAGTCATTTACAAGTGGACTGAGCCATGTCGTTAGTTGTCGACTACCTGGTTGGAGCCCACGAGATGATAATAATCGATGGTTAGAGACCTTGAATGACATGGCTCAAAACCGTTCACAATAGCGCCAATGCATTTATTCTTTATGTTCTCTCGAACCCTAATCTTCTGGATTCTTCAACACCTCTAGTTTTGACTTTCTAAACTTATCTCACTGAATCATAATACTTCTTGAATAATATCTTCTAATCGTAACCTCTGTGATTACTTCTAATACCTTTACAACCTCTTCTACTATTGGATTTGAATTGACAATTATATCTCTGTGCTGATGTGGTATGGCAGCATGAACTGATGTACGTACGTACGTTCTACGTTGCATCTGACTGACTGACTGAATTTGAACATATTTTCACTTAGATCATTTCGACGTCAACCACAGAATATACGGCAGTCAGTTACAATGTTGAACTTCGTACGTACGCACGTACGTATGTACAACACTTCAAGCTGCCATACTGAATTTGCACAGAGAGATGGAATTGTCAATTCAAATCTTATAAAAGTAGAGCTAGTAGCAGTATTTTTGGTAATAGGAAAGATTAGAGATCGAAGATATTATTCAAGAAGTATAGTTCAGTGAGATAACATTAGAACGAGAGAAAGATAGGGGTGATGAGAAATTCAGAACTATGTCATTCACGGTCTGTAACGATCGATTACTGTTGTCTCGCGGACCCCAACCAGGTAGTTGACATCTACCGACATGACTCAGTCCACTTGTCAGTGATTTCATGGATTTCTGCCATGTTTTGGTCTGGCCTCTTCTAGCCTTCTTCCAACCTACTCATACACCACACCAGCTCGTCGCGGCAGTCGGTGGTTGGGCATACGTAACACATGTCCTAACCACCTCAACTGAGGAAGTTTCAACACTTAACTTATTTATCTGCAAAGACGGCGGAAAAGGCTGCAAGAGACGGAAACTTGAGACAACTGTACGAAACAACAAAGAAGCTCGCCGGAAACTATCGTAAACCAGAACGACCAGTGAAAAGCAAGCAGGGCAAACTAATCAGCATTATTGAGGAACAGCGAAATAGGTGGGTGGAGCACTTTAAGGAACTCTTGAATCGACCAGCTCCACTGAACCCACCCAACATCGAGGCAGCATCCAAGGACCTCCCAATTAATATTGGCGCACCTACGATTGAGGAGATCAGTATGGCCATCAGACAAATCAAGAACGGCAAAGCAGCAGGACCAGACAACATTCCAGCAGAGGCAATGAAAGCAGATGTAGAAGCAACTGCGAAAATATTTCACATTCTCTTCAAGATTTGGGATGAGGAACAAGTACCATCAGATTGGAAAGAAGGATACCTCATCAAAATACCAAAGAAAGGCGATCTCAGCAAGTGTGAGAACTACAGAGGCATCACTCTTCTTTCAATACCAGGCAAAGTCTTCAACAGGGTATTGTTAAACAGAATGAAGGACTTCGTAGACGTCCAACTTCGAGATCAACAGGCCGGATTTCGTAGGGATCGATCGTGTACTGACCAAATTGCTACATTACGGATCATTGTGGAACAATCAATTGAATGGAACTCACCACTCTACATCAACTTCATCGACTACGAGAAAGCATTTGATAGCGTGGATAGGAAAACACTGTGGACTCTTCTTCGACACTACGGTGTGCCTGAGAAAATAGTCAACATCATACGGAATTCTTATGATGGATTCAACTGCAAAATCGTGCACGGAGGTCAGCTGACAGACTCTTTCGAGGTGAAGACCGGTGTGAGGCAAGGTTGCTTACTCTCACCCTTTCTCTTTCTCCTGGTCATCGACTGGATTATGAAGACGTCGACATATGGAGGGAAGCAGGGTATCAACTGGACAGTTAGGACGCAGCTGGACGATCTGGACTTCGCAGATGACTTGGCTCTTCTATCGCACACTCAACAACAAGTGCAAGAGAAGACGACCAGTGTAGCAGCAGCCTCTGCAGCAGTAGGTCTCAACATTCATAAAGGAAAAAGCAAAATATTGACCCAATTTATCAACCAATCATAAAAAAACTCATCGGATAAATAACCAAATCCAATCAAAATAAAGAGGTAGACAATGACAGGTTGAAGGTCGCTAACAACAACCAATCAAACTGGAGGTCAACAGGATATGAAGAGATTCGAACACTACTTCTACCTGAAGTCTGCGCTGATGATGACGATGTTGTGTTCAGAAGAAGAACAATGAAAACTCCACAACCGAAACATTCCCAGTTCAAAGAATGAAATTCCATCAGAATAATAAATCTTAAGCTTACATTTAGGTGCATTTGATTCGTTGATATGCTGTGTTTTGTACATAAACAAATTGTAACTTAAGCGCAACCTCTGTTAATCTGTTTTTACACCTTAAATACTTAGTATTTTCTTAAATTCTGAATACGTTATGACCTTGCTCAGTACATATTTATTCATGTATCTTTTTTGGTTAATCGAAGTCAGGAATACATCGAATAGTGTTTCAGTCTACTCGTCTTCTATCCCTCTCTCTCACATGCTAGCTAGCCTATCCCGTGATAGACTAGTTCTCTTTTCTCTGCCTAAAGTCGTTCAGTCACAACCGAACTCATGTACTGCCAGTCTCAAGGTTAAACTAGATAGCCAGCCTATCAATCTAGTATGTTTTAATTAGATCTTGGCGGGCAGAGATTTCAAGGCTGTTTGAGAATTCGACAGTTCCAATCAATATTTATGGAACACATTTTTTTTTTAAAAAAATGAACTACATTTAAATCGAAGTTGTTTTAAATAAACAAACTCACAATTAATTTCATTATTGAACGACCATCCAGTGGTCTTGTTGTTGCAAAGCCATACATTAATAAAAAGGCAATATTGCCAATCGCTGAAAAAGCGCCAATTCCAATGAGATATTGAAATCCACTCACATTGTAACCTCGCCCAGCTAATGCAATACAAATAATGCCAATAATCTAAAATGGGGAGAGAAAAAAACAATGGAATTAATTGGGTGATTTAGGCGAAAAGAAACGGTGAGGAAAGATGAACTATCTTTTTCCAATAAAATAGAGATTTCATTAAGTAGTTTATGCAACAAATACACATATGTGTGATGTGAGCTACTTATAAGTAGTATATGACATGAGTGTCAACGTAATGTCTGGCAGCAGCAGAAGATGGGGGAAGATCAAGAAAGGAAGAAGAGTGGGAACACAATGGAATTTGTATGAAACGCATGAATAGTGACAATGAATTGATGTTTTACAACATGAACAGTCCAGTTCGATATGATGAACTGATATTTTGTAAATTAACCGTTTACGATATGGTTTTCTTATTTTACTGAGTAACTCTGTAATTTTCGGTTGCCCCACATGTGTTCTCGTTCACTACATATATATGCGTGTATAGAAATATGACGTTTGCATTAGATTACATCATCAATAATGTACAAAGTTAACTGTGCATTGAATGTAATTATTTCAGTCAGTATGTGTGAGAGAGAATGAACCAGATTTTAGATGAGAAAGAAATTAGGAATAAGAGGCTGGAGGTGGATAGGACACACGCATACACATTGAGGAAAGCACTCAATTACGTCACAAAGTAAGCCTTCACTTGGAATCTTCAAGGCCGAAGGGAAAGAGGTTGGCCAAGAAACATGAGAAGAATGAACAGGAACAATTGGATCAAACTGGAAAGAAACGACCAAGAGAGAATAGACTAGAGAATGCTAGTTGGCGACATATGCTCCACTTAGGTTGACAGGCCTAAGTATTGTTAATCAGTAACGTAACAATCGACAAGAGATTCATTTCGTAACTTAGTTGGCTCTGTCCAACTACACGGGTGAGAAAAACACGGTCAGTAAGAATAGAACATATTCGTATGTTACTATAGTATTCGATCATCGGTGTCTTCCAAGCATTGCTCATATATCTTGGGACCATTGAGTAAGCAATTCTGTTGTTAGGAAACGGGTACTAGGTAAGGATGACAGACCAAAAGATGCATTACGGGGTTGTGAAGGTTGTTAAGTTACATATTTTTGAAACACAACCCCGTAATGCAAATTACCTGTGCTAACTATTAACTAGCTTCGTGAGGAATCTTCTCCGAGTTCTAGGGGGAAGTTGTGACCAGTGAAGTTCAACCTGTTCGGGTGTAGACAGTAACTACCGAAGACTGTGTATGAGGTTGCGCAACTCCGTGAATTGGTCAAGTTAGACATTAACACCGTTAGATACCGGCTTAGTGGACCGATGGTTAGGCGTTCGCGCACAACACCGAAGGTCCTGAGTTCGAGTCCTGCGGGGTGCAGGAGTCGTGGATGTGCACTGCTGAGGAGTCCTATACCAGGACGAAACGGCCGTCCAGTGCTTTCAGGTTTCTAATGGTGGTCTAACATCGATCGATTCATGGTTTCAAAAAAGATGAAGAGTTAAAATCTCATCAATTGTGGTGTTTGGGACACGTATTACAAATGCCCAACTGCGGACTGCTTCGGTGACTGCTGATGCCTGGTGTGGAGGTAGGATAAAAGAAAGAAGGGATTGGCTAAACCGGAACATGGCATAGGCTCACCAACAACTACTAGACTGAGCCATCTTAGTAGATGTAGACTGGTTGGAGTCTGCGAGATAATAGTAATCGACGGTTAGACACTTTGAATGACATGGTTCAAAATCGTTCTCAGTGGCACAGGGGCATCCATTGTTTGACTCCTCTCAAATTATAATCTTATGACTCCTTCATGACCGTTTTTCCCCCTTTTTAACAACTGATTCCTCTGGGATATACTTCTCGAAAGATATCTTCGTTCACTTATCTTTTTGATTACCGTTAATATTTCTACTACCTCTACTACTATAGGATTTGAATTGACAATTGTATTTGTAACATTTAACACACAGGCAAAACTATCTTAAATGATATTTCATCATTATCATGTAACGAATAACTAATTACGACATATCACTCAGTCAGTCACAACGTAGAACTTGGTACGCGCATACATCAGTTCAGGTTGCCATACCACATCAGCACATAGACGCAAATGTCAAATCAAATCCCATAGTGAAAAAGGTAGTGGAGGTACTAATGGTAATGAAGAAGACTAGGGTTTGAAGATATTATTCAAGAAGTATAATTCAGTGAGATAAGGTTAGAGAGACCAAGGTAGAGGTGCTGACGAATCCAGAAGATTAGGATCCACAACCAATGGATGCACTTGCGCCATTGCAAACGATTTTGAGCCATGGCATTCAAGGTCTCTAACCCATGGTGACTTTCGTCTCGCGGACCCCAACCAGGTAGTCTACATCTACCAACATGACTCAGTCCACTTTTCAGTGACTTCATGCATTTCTGCCATGTTTTCGTTTGGCCGCCCTTGGCTCTCTTCCAACCTACTCCTACACCACAAAACATAGCTCGTCTAGGCAGTCGGTGGTTAGGCATTCGTAACACATGTCCCAACCACCTCAACTGATCAAGTTTCAATGCTTCATCTATTGATCTGCCATCCTTATCTAGTACTCGTTTCCTAACGATCACCATCATTTGCTTATATGCAAAAGAATGTAATGAACTAGTTATGAGTTGAAATGCATTCTAAATTACCATTGATAACATCAGCTGTCATTATTAATCGCTTTTATACAGAAAATATTTCATTTCAGCATAATATCAGTCATTAAAAAGAGACAATTCTAACTTGACATTGTTCTACACCCATGAACAGTTGTTTAATTAAACAGTTTTGTATTCTAAAAACTGATATGAATCATTCCTATCTTGAAATCATGAATGAGTCAATGTTAGACCACCATTAGAAATCTGGAAGCACTGGACAGCCGTTTAATCCTAGTATCGGACTCATAGGCAGTGCGCATCTGCGACTCCTGCTACTCACAGGTTTCAAACCTAAGAACTTCGGTCTTGCGCGCACGAACGCCTAACCTATGGACCACTGAGCCGGTATCTAACAATGTTAATATCTAACTCTGATCAATCTAAGGCTTTCGCGCAAATTCATTCACTGTCTTCGGTAAGTAAGGAAATCTCCACATAAATTAGTTTGAATCGAAATCATATCAATGTGAATTTAACAGCAAAGGCATTCTTAAATTCAATGCACAAAAATTTAGATAATTGAATGCAATGCATTTACAGAAAAGAAGTTACCCTTGGTTTTGTGGGTAACTTTTTTCATTACTACCAATCAATATTTGACCTGAATGACTATTTTTCTCTCCACTTAAAGATTGTGTTCATATTTACACATCTATTGGAAAAAAAACACTATTACACACACACACACAAACACACACACACAGAGGTCCACTTATGTGAAAGTTTGACCTTGAGTGACCAAAAATGACCTTGAACGTTTGTTTCAGTTATTCAATGGCCAATAAATATTGAAGATAATTAGAATTTTTTTAAATAAAGATTATTGTAAATTAAATTAAATTAAAGAAAATTACACAGATATCGTTCTTTTTTGTGGTAAGATTTACAGGATTTGTAAAATCTTTACAGTTAAAGGATGTTTCATACAGAAATGTGAACTAAGTAAATGAGAATAAGTGTAACACTGGACCAGTCATTGTTGCCGCAATCTTCTCTGCAAAACTCTCTTCGAAGAACTGACGAAAATGAAATAAATATAAGATAACGATCTGGGAACTGTGCTCGCGGATGTTCTAATCGATTTAGGAGAAAGCTAATATAAATTTAGCATTTCAGGGATTTGAGATGGATGAGGATTCACTTGTCAGTCAATAATGACATCGAGTTCAAATCTACTGGTTGAATCCAGAATCCTGATGTTTAACTGTTATGATTAGTTAAGTCATTTTTGTCAGTTTAAGGTTGTAGAGATTGTTATATTTCACTGAAATTATGAACTAATCAGTGTTAGATCACTATTGGAAATATGGAAGCAATGGACAGCCATTTTGTTGTAGTATGTGACTCATCGACAGTGCACATCAACAACCCGGCCTGTGTGAATAGAACCTAGGACCTTTGGTCTCATATATGAACGCCTAACTTCTAAACTGCTGAGCCGGCATCTGATGTTGTCATTGTCTAACTGGGATTAACCTACAATATTACGCAGCAGAGGGTAAGTGCCTCATATCTGACATAGCTGAACTCCACTAGTCATGACTTCTCACTAGAACTTCGAGAATTTCCTCATGAAACTAGAGCTGCTTTGCTTTCAGGGGTTTGTGATGAGCACCATAGAGTCAGTCAGTCAGTTGCAACGTAGAACTTCGTAAGTATGTACATAAGTTCATGTTGCCATACCACATTAGCACAAAGACGCAGATGTCAAATCAAATCACATAGTGATAGTAGAAATAGTAGAGGTATTAATGGTTATGAAGAAGACTAGGGTTTGAAGATATTATTCAAGAAGTATAATTCAATGAGATAAGGTTAGAAAGACAAAGGTTGAGGTGCTGACGAATCCAGAAGATTAGGATACCATAGAGTAGCGCGAAACATCTGTCCAGTTCTTCGCCAAAGTTTCCAACATTGATCTAACATCAACCAAATTCATAGTTTTCATCATAATTCATTTGTTGATTGCTTTTGCTTTTAAAAATCGAACTTTTTTTGTAATTCAGTAATCTGAAATAATTAAAACGCCTTAATTTTCAGGTGAATTCTATTTTCATTCCAATATTTAATAAATATATATCTGCAATTACTTTCCCCAGATAAATGACAAAACTATTGTGATTGATTATTAAAGATCAAGGGTACACCCATTTGAATTTTATTTTCAAATATACCATACTATCCAAGCCCCCAGTTTTATTTTTTTTCAAGTGATTTTATTGAAAAAAAACTATGCTTTTTGTTTAAACTGTTGTAAATTATTCGACTGACTGACAATTCTATCATTGTTTTTAATACGAGATAAGATAACAATTTAAACAAATTCACGTATAGATAATGTGTTATTGAAACATTGAACACACAGAAAAAAAATGTAGTGATTTCGTTTGAAAATGATTTCGCTTGAAAAAAACTATTTATGTTTTATGAAAACTACGCAAATTAAGTCGCCAATGCATATTGAGATTTGATTACAGTTTAATGGTAAGTTATTTTTCAATCGGTTCAATATTTCAATATGGATGACTCAGTTTTACTGTGTGTGTGTGTGTGAGTGTGTGTGTGTATGTAAAGACGAGATAGTGAGTGATATTAGCGATCTATTTAAAAAGTTATTGGAGGCAGTCAGTGTGTTGTAAATGGATTCCAACCTGCCAACCTGCGTCACTTATGGCGTAGGCGAGATATCCGTTTGCTGATTAAAGGACGAGTGTACTATGTAGTAGTTCGCTCCGTCTTACTTTGTGGCTGTGAAACGTGGCCAGTGAGAGTAGAAGATATTCGTAGGTTACTGGTTTTCGATCATAGGTGTCTTCGAAGCGTTGCTCGTATATCGTGGGACACCCGAGTGAGCAACGCTGTTATTAGGAAACGGGTGTTAGGTAAGAATGGCAGATTAATAGACGCAGTAGTGACACTTCATCAGTTGAGGTTGTTGGGACATGTGTTGCTTATGCCCAACCACCGACTGCCTCGTCAAGCTTTGTTTTGTAGTGTAGGAATAGATTGGAAGAAAGTTAGGGGCAGCCAAACCAAAACATGGCAGAAATCCATGAAGTCATTGACGAGTGGACTTAGCCATGTCGGTAGTTGTCGACTACCTGGTTGTGGTTTGCGAGATGATAATAATTGATGGTTAGATACCCTGAATGACATGGCTCAAAACCGTTTGCAATGGCGCTGATTCATTTATTCTTTGTGTTCTCTCAAATGCTAATCTTCTGGATTCTTCAACCCCTCTAGTTTCGACTCTCTAAACTTTTCTCACTGAATCATACTTCTTGAATAGTATCTTCTAATCCTAACCTCTCCGATTATTTCTAATACCTTTACTACCTCTTCTACTATTGGATTTGAATTGACAATTCCATCTCTGTGCTGATGTGGTATGACAACATGAACTGATGTACTTACGTACGAAGTTCTACGTTGTATCTAACTGACTGACTGACATGGATTGCATTACGGTATAGGCTACTGTAGCAGTCGCCTTAAATACTTCTTCTATACAACACATAAACGACCATGCCTAGCCAGTTTAATGTGTATATATACATGTATCAATTCATTTGTTTTTACGAAGACAGATAAAAAGTTATTTTATATGGGTTTCCGGTTATGGTCTCAGATATGTATTCAAGTAAACTGTGAGTTCTTAATTAAATTTTTTATTACTTCTAATAATCCAAAATTATCCAAGAAGCATTCAGACGGAGTCCTAACTTAAATCTACTGAACTGTGCAGAAGTTTCGTCCACTGATGACTATTTTGTATCACAGCTGTGTATGTAATTCCTTCTTCATTTTATTCTCATGTTATAAATTTTACTACGAAAAAATGTATATTGATCTGAAAATGTCTGTTACTTCAAATTCTAACTTATTACTACTGTTTTGTGCGCTAATATATCTATTCTAAAAAGGCTTCATCAGTCTCGTCATCATTTCTGATTTGCGTTTCATGTATATCGCAAGATGATCCTCTCGTTGGTTTCTATGAGATTATATCTCCAGAAATTACCCTGTTGTGGTGGTGGTGTTTGGTTCTCTGAGCTGGATGTTTTAGTTGTGGAGCTTTCATTGTTCCACCTCTGAACAACATCATCAGCACAAACTTCAGATAGAAGAAGTGAAGCATTCGAATTTCTCCACGTTTTACCTGTAGCTTGTTCTGATAACCTCGATCGTGATTGGTTGCTGTTGACCTTAAACCTGTCGTTGTTTGCACCTTTGTTTTTATTGTATCCCCCTTTTGATCTATTTCATGGTCCTACGTTACCTATGATTTTTCTGATTGGTTGATAAATTGGGTCAATGTCGATGTGTTTGTTGATTGCTGATTGACCTGAGTGCCAAGCTTCTAAAAATTCCCTAGTGTTCTTTGTCCTCCCCCCTACACAGTATTTCCACATTGTTCCGATCAAACGTGTGTGCCCTGTTGATATGTGGATTGGAACTCTGTGTGAATGGCTCAGAGAGTGGCTCCCTTAGAAAACTGCCTATTTCAACTCAGGCCTACATAGAGCGCTTGTTAATAGTTGTCTACGCAAAATACTTTGGATTCGTTGGTCAGACACAATCAGCAACAACGTACTGTGGGAGAGAACAAACCAGATTCCAGTGGAAGAGGAAACCAGAAAGAAGCGGTGGAAGTGGATAGGATACACACTACGAAAAGCACCTAACTGAGACACAAGACAAGCCCTCACTTGGGACCCTCAGGGTAAAGGGAAAAGTGGAAGGCCAAAGAACTCATTACGCCGAGAGAAAGATATGAGAAGAATGAACAAACATTGGAAAGAATTTGAAAGGGAAGCCCAGGACAGATTTGGTGGGAGAAAACTGGTCGGCGGCCTCTACTCGATTGGGGGTAACAGGCGTAAGTAAGTAAGTGAACTGGCTTCCGATATACCTGGATCTCCGGTTTTCCTGTTTCAGTTCTGGTGATCCGATAATGAGAATCTGTTGTTCGACTCCTTCTCCCATTGTGAATTCGATGTCACTGAGGAAGTTGTGATCAGGTTGTAGGTATTTTCCAGCTTTATCCTTCTGATAATGACGAATTTTTTCGTCCACGTAATGAACCCCATATTCAGATCTGATTACTTGTATAATGAAAGCTTCCAGTTCCTTTACCACTGCTAATATAACAAGTCCTAACAGTGGTTGTTTATAGATTTTACTGTTGAACTGAACATGCACTGTCAAGTATAAATCGATGAGTTCCAGAAGACTTTGAATTTAACGTTTTGTGTACTTTGGTAGACTTGTATTGTCAGTGAGATTCTATTGTAATGGATAAGACTGTTACAACAAAGAATATCATTACTTCGTTTAGGTTGTTGCTGTTATTGATATGTGTCGTGTTCAGTTTATCTAAGAATTGCCCGGAAGATTTGAGGGAATATTCCATAATATCATGAACTAATTATTTTGGGGGGTATAATGAATAAGTTTTTTTCAAGTGTTCAAGGAAAAAGAAAACCCTGTTACGATTTAAAAACACAGTTTTATAAGTCATTATAAGTTCAGAAAAGTTTTTATTTTATTGTACACTATGATAACAAAGACCGGACTTATTTCATTTCAAAACTCTGATTTTTTAAATTACTAAACACCGACTGATTTATTTTTACATATCGATCGATTCATGGTTTCAAAAATGTGTAACTTAACAATCTTCACAGCCCCTGTAATGCAAATTACCTGTGCTCACTAGTGACTAGCTTCGTGAGGAATCTTCTCCGAGTTCTAGTGGGAAGACATCGTGACCAGTGAAGTTCAACCTGTTCGGGTGTAGGCAGTGTCTACCGAAGACTGTGTATGAGGTTGCGCAACTCCGTGAATTTGATCAAGTTAGACATTAACACCGTTAGATACCGGCTCAGGGGTCTAACGGTTGGGGCGTTCGCGCACAATGCCGAAGGTCTTGATGAGTCCCATACCAGTACGAAACGGCCGTCTTTCAGTGCTTCCAGGTTTCTAATGGTGGTCTAACATCGATCGATTCATGGTTTCAAAAATGTATAAAATATAGGGGTTATAGAGATTGTTGAGTTAAGCTGAAATCATGAATCGATCAATGTTCGACCGTCATTAGAGATCTGGAAGCATTAGACAGCCATTTCTTCATATTATGTATGTATGGTACTATGCAGCAGTACGCATTCCTGATCCCTGCTTTCAGGGCACAATCCCAGGATATTCGGTCTCATACGCGAACGCTTAGCCTGTTGACCAATGAGCCTGCATCCAATGGTGTTGATGCCTAACTACGGTCAATCCATAGTCTTGTGCGACCCTATCCACTATCTTCCATGGCCACTGCTTCACATCCGAACAAGGTTGAACTCCAGTGCTTCTCCCAGGTTTACAATGGTTTTCTAACATTGATTGATTCATAATTTCAAAGTAACATATAAAGCATAGCGGGGTTGTTGTGAAGATTGTTAAGTTTTATTTGTAACCATGAATCGATCAACGTTAAACCACCATTAGAAACCTGGAAGTGACTAGCTTCGTGAGGAATCTTCTCCGAGTTCTAGTGGGAAGTCGTGACCAGTGAAGTTCAAACCTGTTCGGATGTATACAGGGTATGAGGTTGCGCAACTCCGTGAATTTGATCAAGTTAGAGAATAACACCATTAGATACCTGCTCAGTGGTCTAACTGTTAGGGCGTTAGCACACAATACTGAAGGTCTTGGGTTCGAATCCTGCGGGTTTCAGGAGTCCTGGATGCGCACTGCTGATGAGTCCCATACCAGGACGAAACGGCCGTCCAGTGCTTCTAGGTTTCTAATGGTGGTCTAACATTGATCGATTCATGGTTACAT